TTATTTCGATGAAGTTGTGAAAAACAACTGTTAAAGTAGACTCTAAAAATATATTGTAAGTCGATTACCATGTTTCGCATAATAATATACGCTTTTGTGCTCATATCGTGAATATTTAAATTAATTCTTTATTGTTTTTCCTTTCTGTATTTTTATTTTTGCGCATAAGTTATTATGTACTGCGAAGTAATTTTCATCTTCATACGATTTTATCGAAATATTTTCCTTTTTTATGCTTACATCGTTAGGATATAGGTGAAGAGAACAGTCGCATCCACTCACACTCAAATTCTGTTGTCAAATAATGTATTTATCTATTTTTTAGGTACTGCTAAACAAAAACAATGTGAAAATTAGGCTGTCATAGAGAAAAAAATTGTTTCCTAATTTTATAATGCCACCAAAGTATCTTAGTTTGATCATACAGTTGGTGACATATTTTTAATAGGAAGTTGAATGAATTTATTTCTATCTCATTTATTGACGATCAGAAATAATACATTTTCACAAATCTCGAAATTCACTAACAAACATTGAATAATAAACTCTGTATATGTATATATGTCATGATTGGGCACATTTTAGACTGAAATTCAATTAATTGTACAAAAATAATATGTTTTGACATTAGAGAAAAATGAATACAAAAGAACAGTAAACTTAAAGACTTATTTCTTTGTATATCACTGTCTAATCTAATGAAAGCAGCATAACTTTCTCAACAATAAAAAAAAACCTGAAGCAAGTGTTAAACATTTCTGACTGCATATTCCAAGATCAGATAGTCTGATACTGATGTATATCTATCTTACCCATATTACAAGTAGTCTATGCCCATTACTACCAAGAGATAGATCGATCAATAAGGGCAATTTATCAACATCATCTATTTCTTGTCTTTAACAGAAGTAAAAAGTACATAAAAGTATTGACATAAGAAAACATCTTCGTATTTAGCCTTCTCCATTTTCTTCTACTACTTGTTAGACTTTTGGCCCGGTCTACTTTCAGACAGTTCGACACCGTACGGTGCAGGTACTCCTGAGGATAAATGCAGCAACGAAATTCGGTTCTGTATGATTATCTTTTTCTCTTCCATTTTGGGTATTTTGGTCATATTAATAGTATTATGATTTCCCTTCGATATACACTTCGTGAGATACTGACAATTCGTCTCTTTGTTTGTATTTCCATATCTGATACTATCTATTTAGTACCATGTATTTATGATTTTCTTTATATAAGTATTGGTCTCTTACCTGTCAATCCTCAAATAAATCCTCTTTTATTCAATGCACTTTGTCGTTTTCGTTCATTTATTCAGTCAATGGCAATGTGTTCCTCAGCTTGGATTTGCTTAGCTATTTCTATTGATTGATGGCTTTGTGTTTGTTTTCCTTTTCAACTCGAAAAATTATGTACAAGAAAATATGTACTATTCACAACATTGATCATTCTTATATTGTGTCATTACATTCAATTCTCACTTACTTTTACCATCATTAGGAACTCACTGTACCAGTAGCAAATATTTGTGCTCCTACATCATCAAATGCAACTTATTCATTTTTCTTTTCGAGAGATATTTCTTCGTCTGTCATATATACAAAAATGAACTCATTTATTCGTTTTTATTATTTCTTATCTATGAAATACTTTATTGACATGTGCTTATGCGTCTTTAAATACAATACAAACAAAACTTTAATCGAAATCGTCGTTGTACTTTTGCTGATCGACAAATATTAATAATTATGTTAACAAGTTTTTTTTTCTTTTCAACACAAATCCCATTAAGTTTATTTTAAATTCTTCTTTCATCCATTAAGCGACATCGATGTTTAATGATTCACACTCTTGAACTAACGTCTATTTTTAATTTTGTTGTATCCATCCATTATGCTATGATAAAGCTTTTAGTTATTTTGACTCCGAAATAAATGAAATCTAAATTATTTTTCATTTTAAACAAAATTTTATGTTTATTGTTAGACAAGTAGATTATTCAGATGAGAGTTTTACAATAACTTTACACTCATGTTTAAGGGATAGGAATAGACGAACTTGTGTTGAGACATAAATGATCGGTCAAACAAATTAAAAACAAATTGAATTAACAGATATGTGAGAAAAAAAGTAATTTAGAAGAATATACAATTGAAACTCTACAATAAAAACACTTTTTGTCATTTAATTTAAGATATATATTTTTTTCGGAAACGTTCTTGACCTGATGTCATATAACAATTTGCACTAATTGTTGCAATCGTTGAATATGTTGCACGTTCTTGTCCATGTTGCATATACATATTTGTCATTGTTGTTCGAAATTCGTGATGACTTGAATATTGATGTTCTAAATCACGTATTAGTTGTTGACATAATGGATTTTGAGCTGAAACTGATGAACGAATTTTTGCTATTTGAGCATTGATCATATCACGAGCACGTTCGTAATTATTTTCGTCGACTGCTTGTTTCAATACATGACTTGTTTCAGCTCGATTACGTTGTATATCAAGTTCATAATTGACTTGTAGAAGTGATGATTGAGGATCGATTTGATTTGGACGAGCAAGTACAAAAGGAATAGGAGGAATACGCATTGTCTGATCAGTATTAGCATCTATATATTCAAGAGATACATGACCTAAAATGAAATTGAATCATGCCATTCTTTTTTCAGTATTAAATTAATCGTTGACTTACCAATGGTATGATCATTTGAATCGTTTTCATTTGATGGATTCATTTTTGGTACATGTAATTGAAAAACAAGATTTCGACTTTCATCAGCATTGAGATCAGTCATTTTAAATGTTATTTCACGAGATGGTAAATGTTTTGGTTCATATTGATAAATTGTATGAGCATGAGTAATTTTATAATCATTATTGAATTCTAATTTAATGCGTAATTGTTTTGCAATACATGTAAAAAGTCCACCAAGTGCTGTAGCAAATGCATGACCAACTGCATCAACTTGATCAATATAAGTAAACGTACCTCCATGACCTTGTTCAGCCAAACGAGAAAGTAAAGCAGCATTATGATCAGATCCATAACCAAATGTATGACAAACAACACCTTCAGGTAATGATTCCATTAATGATGAATAATCATGATATTGATTATCTTGACCATCAGTTAGAAGAAGCATAGCACCTAGTGGATTAGTTGTTCGACGATTTCTTAATAATTGAATTGCCATTTCAAGACCGCTACCAATATATGTACCACCATCTGCTTGAATATGACGTGTGATTGCATTTCGAAGAGTTTGTTTACTTTAACGAAATATTATTTTATTATAAATATAGAATAGAAATAAATATTTACTTTTCTGTTGTCATTAATTTAAGACCTTTCGATCGATCGAATGCTGTGGTATGAAATGAAATAATAGCTAATCGATCTAATGAACCCATTTGATCAACAATATAATTTAATGTATGTTTTAATAAAGCTATTTTGTCTCCTGACATTGAACCACTTTGATCAACAATACAAATAAGATCAATTGGAACATGTAATTCATCAAGTTCTTTTTCGCTTGCTGTCTTTGAAAGTAATGATGGAGCTTTTAATGTAACCATTCCATAAATATTTGATTCTTTTGTTGATTCTTGACCAGCAAATTCTAATGTAGTAGTCACAGTAATCAAAGGAAATTGAGTATGACCTTCGATAGATTGTCGTCGAGCAGTATTAATACGAGCTGAAAGAATACGAACAGCTTCTTCATCAACAAGATCTTCTGATGACGGTGTATTAGTAGAAAACTAAATGAAAATATGATGAAAATATTTCTTTTTTTTTCATCTCAATGACTTACACTCGATGTAGACTGTCTATTGTTACGATTAGAGGAGGAAACAGGTCTATTCGAACCACTACTAATCCAACTAAACGCATGACTTAATGATTTCGTTATTGTATTCCAAACACCTGTATTATTTGCTGGTGGTGGAGTTTGTGTGGGTATTATTGGTTGCGCTGGGGGCTGTTGAATAGGTAAGGATGTATTAGCATTTGATGATGCATTAAGAATATTAACTAATGAATCAAGACGAATTCGGCACAGAGGACATTCATTGTTTTGTGCTTGAACATTTTTTGCCAAACATTGAAAATGAAATTGATGTTTACATGCTGTAGTAAATATATCAAGACCTTGTTGTGTCAATGGACTCAAACAAATTGAACATTCTTCTATAGTATTTGAAGTTTGAGAATTATTCGATGTAGCCATATTATTGTGAAATAATAAATTAAGAGAATTTAAATGTAAGATAAATGCTGTAAAGTAACATTTTATATCATAGAAATAAAATGTGATTGCACAACTCGAACGCCACGTCATAACCATGCGTCATTCAGATGTATCATACTAACATGAAAACTTGCCTTAGTTATAAAAGAATGATTCAATTATTTCCTTCAAATGTAGTCACCGCTCTAAGGTAGATATCCGGAATTATTCATAGTTGGAATCTTAGATATATTTGTGAGTCACAATCACAAATAATTGTAGCCGCGAAACAAACTTCTTATCAAGGTAAGTCAACAGCTATGGATGAAATGATGAAAAGTTTGTCAGTACAACCATTTTGCGGCTGAAATGTGAAACTCACATGCATTCTTTAGCTTTATTTTACTAATACAAAATATTTAGAGTAAAAGATCTCGAACAGATAATAGTTCCTTTCCAAGAAAGATTGATCGTTAGAGAAACAATCTCTCTTATTTTTTTTTTCTACATTTGGAAGTGAATTTATTTCTTTCATTTATTTTTTTGCGACATCTGATCTTTTATTTGCCTTGTTGCTATGTGCTCGTTATTTTTTTTTCTTTTTTACGCCCATTCTCTCACTTTACTTTTGTTATTTTTATTCCAATTATTGATTTAACTGGGTATGGTGTGGATTATAGGAAGACTCGCACCCCTCAAAACTACACTATTTAGAACATTTTAAAATGTATTCCAGCCATTTCATTTTCAAGAAAAGCTTCGTAATATTCTACAACAGACTAAGCCTTTTTTAATGCAATTGAATGTCTTTTTCTGTTGTTAAGGAATTATGAAAAAGGAGTCTAGTGTATATTGTTCTGGGTTGTTAGGAAAGGATTCATATATCCAATGATCTTTGAATTTTGACTTTAGTTATTGAGTTATGCAAGGAAGGGAAAAGTGAGACACAAAACCTCGACTTATAATTTACATTCATTATTTTCGTTGGAAATATATATGAGTTTAACAATGATCTATTATAATAGACGCCTGTAATAAATGGTCGCACTTTGCATTTCATATTTTCGTCTATAAATACGTCTTATTAAGAAAAAAATGAACCACAAAATGCCGCGTGAAAAGCTCTACAATCAGAGATGGAAACCAGACAACTTTTTCCGTCCTGTCCTCCCCATCGGCAGGATAGGACAGGACATTAAGCAGGATGAACATGGCATCTTTAATTTTCTATTAAGTGAAGCATATATTAAACATTTCGATCATCTTTTAATCAATCTATTTTATAATGTTGTACACATCACAATTTTATTCTTAAGGGGGGCCCCCCCCTTAGAAAATCGAATTTTTCAAGGGAATATCGAAGTTGAGTTTTTATCACAGGAAGATGCGGCGAAGCTTCCTCTTTCAGAATATATATAGCTTTTTGGAAAATGACCGGATTTTCAAAGACTTATCATATAAAACTTTGACTCTACTAACATAATTTCGGAGAAATTTTCAGGTGTTTCAGTTTTGAAAAAACTGCGTTGTCACTTGCATTAGCATTGAGTAGAACACTTTTATATTTCCCAACATGTCAGATGGCGTTAGTTACCTTCATCTCTTACGTAGTCTAAAACGATCCACGGGAATGAATTAATAATATACCATTGTAATATGATTTTTTCTGGATTTGAACGAAAAAATCCAGTTCTAAAATTTCTTTAGCGTTTTTCTCAAAATACGGTTTCCAGACAGAAAAATTGAAATAACTCCATCCTGTCTCAAGCTATAACCAATAATTTTTTTTTGTTTTAAAGGTCTTGATTAGAGCTAACTTTTCATCGGACGGATTTTTGATATTGAACCCCAAGGCTGAGAAAAGTGGAATTTACTGTCGTCGAACCACACTTTTTTATGCTTATTTTGCAGACATGCCCACAAAATCGCTCGTAAAAAATGAATGGAAGGGCCTTTCAAAATTCCGTCCGATGAAAAGTTGCATACAGAGGCTAGCTACAATTTGAAATTAACCCGAGCTCTGTATCCCTTCTCTGGACGGAGTTATTTCGATTCTTCTGAAAGGTAGGAAAACCAATCAAAACTGCGATTTAGTCGGACATGTGAAGCTGAAATTTTTATCATAAGCGTTTCTCACTAAGACCAATCATCCCTGAAAATTTCAGCCCAAACGAAGGATCCCAAGTGGGACTTCATTTCTAAGGGGGGGGGGGCCCTTAAGCGATGTTTAACTGAATAAATGCAAAACAAACACGACAAGTTAATTAGTTTTAAGAACATGCTCATCACGCAAAATTACATTGTAAAACAAGATGCGTAAACATTTTGTAATAGTATTCATATAGTAATCATATCAAGAGCAACAAAAGAAAATAACTGAGCAATGAGTGTTTTTCAATAAGTTCATAAATGTTTGGAAGCACTTGAAACAAATAACGAATCCGAAAATACGTGAATACACGTTATTTTCATCTAATTTAGCTGAAAATCCAAATGCATTCTATCAAGATGAGGATACTGTTGATGATTTGTTTTTGACAACTATTTTTTTCTGAATGGAATAAAAGTTTTACTTTTTCTGAATTGAGAGGAGCTTCAAGTAATGCAGATACTTCAACACTACACCTATAAATCACCTTGTTTTGAAAATGTTAGAAATCTGAAAGACATTAAAAAAACGTAGAATTGAACAAGAAATCAATATAAGCACGCATGAGCGAATAACCATCGATAGCTATTGTTTATCTGCTTTTATTTATTTATTTTATCATTGTATTGTATGCTCCCTCGTGATTTGAAATTTTTGTCGATTAATCTGATATAAGCATTGTTTGGCACTTTGATATTGACATCTACGACTGATAGTAAATATGTCAAGTATAACCGATTATGATAAGTATTATACAAATATTCTAAGAAAAAATTTATATAAAAATTCATACGAAAAATACATCTAAAAATACAGGACAAGCTGATGTATCCTGTCCTGTCCTGTCGCTCCGACTTCATTTGTCTTGTCATGGGGCAGGGTAGGACAAAAATTTTAGTTTTCTCCTGTCCTATTCCCATCTCTGTTTACAATATACGAAGTAAGACTTATTTTAATTGTGTACACTTTGTTTTCAAGTTAAACGATATTCTGTGCGACCGATTTTCGACGCTGCAAACCATATCATTTATTGGTACACGATGAATTCCTTGTTTCTTATTTCATCAATTAATGAGTTATAGTTTCTAACTTTATCCCATCGCATATTACTGGTAATAGTATCCCACATATAATAATTTATAACGTAGATAACCAGAAGTATTTGATGGACATCTATGATTGCTTATAAAATGCATGAAATTTTCTTCACACGATGTCAATGATTCCTGATATTGATGTGACTTTGTGTTGTCTTGTTGGTAGGTGAAATTGTCATCGAGAAGTTGTTCGCCTTTAGATTGTGCTCGCAGAAGAACAATTTCAATATAACTTTCATGTAATAATATTCTATTAGATTTAAATATAATGGAAGACGTAAGACGATTTTTAGATGCACCTAACAACACTATAATTCTGTTTGAACACTTAGTGTTTTGATTTATATCCTTTAGTTCATCTGCTTCTTGTCAACTGGCAACATGAACACGTTCTAATGAGAAATTTTTTTTTCGTCAATAAACAAAATTCTCTTCTATCAATGAGATAAAAAAAGCGAATTGACCGTCTA